CATCCATCTTGGTGACAGAAAGGGCTCACACACACAAACTGCTTCCCTGTGAGAATGGGAAGACACCACATGTTGCTCTGTATAACAGCACACAGGGACCAGAAATTGATGGTATGCATCCCCAGACTGCAGCTGTGGGAGCAAAATCTTCTATCAGCCCAGACTTCTCAGCCTGCCCATGGGGACTTGAAATGCTGACAGGAAAACTTCATTTAAGCAATGATATTAAAGACACGTGGGCAAATAAAGCACAGTGGTGTCTCTGAGAAGAAAGCCACAAGAGGTCCAGAGGAGGGCCACAAAGATGATCAGGGGGCTGCAGCACCTCCCCTGTGAAGACAGGCTGAGGGATCTGGGCTTGTTCAGCCTGAAGAAGAGAAGGCTGCAGGGTGACCTCATTGCAGGATTTCAGTACCTAAAGGGAGCCTACAAACAGGAGAGGAATCAACTCTTTGAAAGGGTAGATAACTGCAGGATGAGGGGAAATGGTTTTAAGTTGAGGGAGAGGAGATTTAGATTGGATGTAAGGGGGAGAGAGTGGTGAGGTGCTGGAACAGCTGCCCAGAGAGGCTGTGGATGCCCCGTCCATCCCTGGAGGTGTTCAAAGCCAGGTTGGATGGGGCCCTGGGCAGCCTGGGCTGGTATTAAATGTGGAGGTTGGTTGCCCTGCATGTGGCAGGGGGGTTGGAGATTCATGATCCTTGAGGTCCCTTCCAACCCATTCTGTGATTCTCTGCAAATAATACACAAAATTACCAATTATTATGTATGAAAAACTAGACTAGAAAAAGAAACGTAGCTTCAATTCTTTCATAATACTTCAGATATGCAGCAATTACTGCCCCAACCAATAGCAAAGTAGAAAGTAAACACAGTGGCCAATGGATGTTTGCAGGAAATAAGCTGTTAAATTATGCAATTACTTTCAGAGGAAGTTTAAGAGACCTGAAATGCACAAAATAAATGTGTGGGATTGTAAAGGCTTGCACAGCATGGAACTACAAGCATGGACAAGGCACTGCAGAAATCACGACACAGTTGTGCTGAGCTGTTTCCCACAGTATGTGATTACATGATTACAATCTATGTAATAACCATCTACAAGGGAAGGTAAACTGAAATTATGTAGGCAAATTGGGGCAAATTTCCCTCTCTGCTCACTCACGCACACCTTGTTTTTGAGTTTATTTTGTTTATTTTGTCATTTGGGTAATCTAGAACATAGGTCTGTTTTACCAAAGGTCAGGGTTGTCACTGGGTATGGAATAATACCATTGAAGTAACCACGGTTGAGAAAAGACCTCCAAGATCATCCAGTCCAACTGTCCACCCACTACCAATGTTTCCCTACTAAACCATGTCCCTCAGTACAACACCAAAGCATTCCTTTAGTACCTCCAGGCACAGTGACACCACCACCTCCCTGGGCAGCCCACTTCAGCACTCACTACTCTTTCAGGGAATCAATTTTTCCTTTTTTTCTATTTTATTACATAATACCATGCACCACAATGCCTCTTCTGGAAACTCTGAAAGCATCTGCTGCTCAACAAAACTGTCCTGCAAATGTTTCTGTAAGGTGTGCACAGCGAGCTGCAACACTTTGCATAGCATCTGAAATGTTTTACTGCTGAAGTTTTGCTTTAATTCCTGGTAAATGTTCACAGATTACACATCTACCTCTGACTTCTTTTGCTTGGTAGGTTTTTTTTGTTTGAATCAGCAGCATAGCATTTTATATAATAATTGTGGACAGAATGGTAATGCTGGATTTCTGCTATATATTAAATGCACATAAATAGTTAACACATTACATATTATAATACACTGAGGACATATTTTAAGCAATTTATGTTCCATATACTACACAGGAATTTGTCTGTAGGACTAATGAAGGGTATTCAAGCTACTCTGTCACAGTAAAGCTATTAGTATAAATGGGACCAACTCCTCGTGTCACAGACAGCATAATGCTAAAAGGTTTAATAGGCTCTTTGGCAGGAGACAGACAGAATAGATTCAGCTGCTAAAAATCGAGACGCTGACATTTTGCCCTTAGTCACCAGTGTTATCTTTCTCCATAGAAACCAAGTGTAGGACAGTGTACATTGTCACTGTCACTTTCTAGTCTGGCTGTGTTACAACAGCTTCACTTTACAAAGAGAAATTGAGTTCCCAGGAATATTTTTAATATATTGCTGTTATAAAGACACTAAGCAACTTGCATGAATTACATGCTCTGACTGTCTTCTATCCCCATCTCTCAGGAAACACACAATAACAAATGAAAATGGGTGTAAAAGATATATACAGGCTAAGGACTCATTCTATATGGCATTCCTATTGTATCCAACAATAATGTTCTCAAACAAGGAGTCAGAGAAAGCTGCCCTAGAGAATAAATTGCCTGAAACTCAAACGTTGTATTGTGATAGGTTGGAACTACACAAGGGTTTGAACATTGTTTTATCAGTCATGGTTTTATTTCCAGTCCTACTGACATTTTAAGGCATCTGGGATACATCAGAGAAGGATGTCTGTATAGAACTGGGGAGATAACCAAACCAGATGGAAAGAAAAGGGGGGGAAAGGAACAAAAAGAAAGCTCTAAGTCAGGCAAAAGCCATTGCAAATACTGTGCTTATCCAAAAGTGAAAAAGGGCTGGGCTGTTTTTCTTCCACATCCTTCACAATTAGTAGGCCAGAGCACTATTCCCAGAGTTCTCTGTTCCCTCAGGAGCGCTTATTTAATCCATTTTTAATCTCTCTGTATGTTTCATCTGAGTGCTGAGAGCAAGAGAAGCAAGGGATAAGACAGGATATTTTATTCTCTCCAATATTTATGAGGGTAAAAGAGAATGTTTGAACATATGTTGAGAAGCATGACTAAGCAAGAAAACTCATTCCTGACATACCATTCCAGTTAGACCCACCCAAGACATTATTTGTAATTAACTGGTCTTCTGCAAAGCTTTATAAGGGCTTCGTTTGCTATTCACATTGGTTTCAGAGAAGTCACTGCATTGAAGCGAAGCCTCATCTGGAACAAGGAAGGGATTTTTCCTCCAGTTGTGGCCATTCCCTCTGGAATCCTGCAGTACTGCAAAGCCACTTCTCCCCACAACCAACTTCCAGACGGTTTCAGTTCTTACACATAGCAATCAGTGTTATCAATCGGATGCATCTCTTGCTGTTCTACAAATTAATTTAGGAAGACATGCTGTGCAGAGATTCTTCAAAGATGCGTGGAAGACGCGTTCAGGAAAGCAAATGAAAGGGCCCTGCTGGCTCTGCTCTCGGCATTCGTGGGCGCCATCTGCCGGTCCTTTACTAATTATTGTAATATTTTGTGATAACGTCAGAGATGTTAAACGCCCAGATCAAAACGACTTGTTCTTGATGGTGAAAATGACTCTAAGCTTGAAGTCGTTCTGGCCACGCTGCTGTTCACCTTCTCAGTATGAGCTAAAAGCATACGTCGTGTAAGATCTGGACTCCCAGCCATGAGTCCCTGCTGCCCTGTGACTCAGAATGTGGATGTGAGGTTTCACTGTATGCCAACCCCTGGCTAGGCTTACCCTCCCCGTGCTGATAATGGAAGCACATTTCTAGAAAGAACAAGCTGGTGGTTGTACAAGTCAGCCAAAACCCAATGGAATAAATACTTCTAAGAGTCAGACAATCCCTTTAGGCTCTAGAGAATGAAGCATTATTCATGTGTGACAAACGGAATCTAAATTTACAAATGGATGAATCAGGGGGATTTCCAGAACCATTTTTGAACAGGAAGACCACTTAGCTGGCCTTCTTCAAACAGAGCTTCTGCCACATGCAGGCCCTGGAATGAGGAAGAAATTTGGCTCTGAAATTCTCTGCCGATGACACAAAACTCCATTTGGAAACAGTAGCTAATGAAAAATACAAACACGTTCCCACAACCACAGCTATGAAGACAAATCAAGTATACTCACTGAATGGAAATTAGAAGTATTTTTAATAGCTGGGTGTAGCAGCAGCACATGTACAACTATTGTGGGATTATATTCTCCCAAATATGTTTTTACCAGAGGGTCAACTCCAAGAATAACTAAAACCAGCACTTCATGCATCTCAGGGTAAAGAGGATTTAGATATGTGCAACGAATAAGAGATGTATAAATCCTTCTGCACAAGAATACTTATGCCCATACTTGGTGCTGAAGGATAATTCTGAATGTAACCTCTCTATTCAGACATTTCACAAGCAGCTGTCAGATCCTGATTGCGCTGCAGATTCCAGCCTGGAATGCAACTGCTTGGATTCAAATTCACACAACATCACTTCTTTCTGAGCCTAATTTAAGATACATGCCTACTGCAAATGCAGGGAAAGCAGTGCTTTCATAGCAACGCAATGGTTCTGCTGTGCATGGTGCAGCACTGTGGTTCTGCATCACCCACGCTCACACAGCCAAGACTCTCAGCATATCACCACTCACCTTTCTGGTCTTCTGCCCATCTGAGTTATAAATATCCCAGAAGACAAAAATGTAATATCCCACAGACAACACTTTCCCCATATTCACTCTGTTAAGAAATATCTCTACACAATCAGTGTCATTTATTTTTCTCCTGACACTTCAGTACAGATATGACTGTAAATAGTCCCACTCACTCTTTGGGTATCCATACCTCATTTTACTAAAAAACACATAGAAAAAGGAAATATACTTAAAAAAACCCACAACAGCAGCAACCAGGACTCCCTTCTTCTAGATATTTGCTGCATCACTCTTTGAAAGCACCAACAGCAACTCAAAATGAAACACAGAAAAGCTATTACATTCATCACTTGATGGACCACTGGGAGGCAGTCTTTTCTACCTGAAAAATAAAGATGTTTGTCTTCTGACACTCCTTCAATATAGTGGTTGTTTTCCCACTGCTTATCCAGAAACAATTATTTCTATTTTATTTTAATTATTATTTTTCCCAGCTCAATTTTTTTCTGTGCATCCTTAAATTTATTTATCTTCTATCATTCCTAAGTATCTCACCTTTGTTGCTGATCTGTTGCAAGCATGTTCAAAAATGCTATTAAACTTCATCCTTATATCTCCTTTCCTGCTGCCATTTAAGCCTAAGTTCTTTCAGTTTTTCCTTCTGTCAGTTTTTTTCTCCTCATGTGCAATATTCTCCTTCTTTGCTGTTCCTTTCCACAAGCCACCCATTCTTTCACTGTCAAAAGAGGTAACAAAACGAAAGCAACTATTTATGTAATCTACTGTGTGAAAATTGCATTCTTATGGAGTAATCTCTCACTGGCAGTAAGAACTGGCAGCTTCTTCTCAAATATGAAACCCTGGATGCTCTACCACAAGACACAAAACCTCAAGTAACTGCCTCCCTCTTACCAGCTCTCACCTCTTGTTCTTCCCATAACACTCTCACATCAAAACTACTATGAAAACAAGAAGGTTGACCCAAACAATACATTGAAAACAAAAAGAGCAACCTAGGGATCGAAAGGAACTCAGACCACAATGCAACTTGAAAAAAATAAAACACTTCTTTTGCATATGGACTGTGTTAGACAAAGTACAGCTCTGTGATGTGCGTGTGTTTGCAAAGCAGCTAACAGAGAAGCAATGAGATATGCATGAAGTTAGCCTTCAGGTGGATAAGCCTGCAGCCTTTATTAGATGTGATCAGCTTGGCAGATTGGCAGCAATTCATTGGAAATCAGAATTGCAAAGACAGAATGTAGTGAAGCCTACCTTGTGTTCATGTTTAGTTAGTGATGAAATAAAAATAATTATTAAAAATGGTGGTGAAGAGGAATATTTAAAAGTAAGAAATATTTATTCTTCACTAGTGTTAAGTTTAAATAAATTTAAGTAATGACTCTTCCCATTTAATAGCTTTGATAATGATATTGATACTGCAAATGCATTTGTAGAAACACTGATAGAAAGGGTGTTCTTTAGTTCTGCTGTTTAGTTATTATTTTCTCTGCTCCTAAAGGATGATCACAGGCATCACCTTTCCTTGCCTAGCGAGCCAATTCCCAAAAGCCTTCATATAACAAGAGCTGTAAGGTGCTCCAGGTGCCAACAACAGCTCCTCCATGTCCTATTGTTCCCCTGAAGGATGCAAGGGTATGCCTGAACAGCCTTGCTGTTGGCCCAACAGAAACCTCAGCTTGCATTTGACTACATCAGATGATTCATACTAAGTTTACCAGGTAAAGGTAACTAAATGACTTGTTAAGAACAAATACAGGGGAAAATTCTAACATCTTATCTCTTGCAAAACCCAGGAGACAGAAAGAAAATATGCCAAATGGGAGACGTAGAAATAAGCTCAGTTGAAGTGCTTTGAAGCACCCCTGATACCCTCTTTTTCTCCGTTGTCTATGCAATAATAATGGCACATACTTTCTCCAATATCTATCTTCCCCCTCCTCTGTCCTCCACCCTTTCTACATCCCTGGGAAACCTTCCTCCTTCCACTCCCACAGTTTCTTTCTGTGCCCAATTGAGCTTGTTGCCTGAGCAACTGCAGCTGAGGAGAAGAGAGCTCTCACCAGTTGTGAGCTGTCTGCAATAGCACTGCATTCTAACCCGGGTGATAGCTACAGCAGCAGGCACAGGAAATTAACAGGTGAGCTGGGTTAGGTGCCTCCAGCTCCTTGCAAGGTGCTGAGCGTCTAGCAGCCACCTTACATTTTTGTTCAAGCATAAATAAAATAGCCCAAAACATGAGACTGCCAAACAAGTAGCTGCTTAGCTTACTCACAAACCTAGACTATATTCACCCAACAGCCATCTTTCTTGCTCTTTAATTCCAGTCCTAACAGACCATATGAACTCAAAGAAGAACTGAGGTGGTCTACTGGGACTTCTGCAAGGCTTTTGATATGGACAAACACCACATCCTTATCTCTAAATTGGAAAGATATGGATTTGAATACCCTCTGTTTGGTGGATAAACAATTGATTGGATTGTCACAGCCAGAGGGTTGCGGTCAACCACCCTACATCCAGAGGAGGGCCACGAAGTTGCTCAGAGAGCTAGAGCACTGACCACTCCTATGAAGAAGGGTTGAAAGAGCTGGGCTTGTTCTGCCTGGAGAAGGCTCCAGGGAGAGCTCACTGTGGCCTTCCTGTACCTGAAGGGAGCTTCAGGGGGGTAGAGGGAGGAGGGACTTTTCACATAGTCTGATAGCTATAGGACGAGGGAGAATGGCTTTAAACTAAAAGAAGGGAGAGATAGGTTAGATGTTAGGGGGGAATTCTTCTCTCAGAGGGCAGTGAGGCCCTGGCAGTGCTGCCCAGAGAGCTGTGGGTGCCCCATCCCTGGAGGTGCCCAAGGCAGGTTGGATGGGCCCTGGGCAGCCTGAGCTGCTGGGGGGCAGCCAGCCCATAGCAGTTGGGGATGGGGGGGTTTTAAGATCCCTTCTATGAACTGTGTTTCTATGAACTGGTAATTAATCACTTGAATCAGAATACTCTCTTCTAAATGTTTCAACTGATATGAACACATCACTCTCCCTTTGCTTTTTTCTTTGTTTATTTTAAAATTCAGAAGAGTAACCAGATCAAAAACATCTATCAATGACCTTTCTACATCCCTTGAATACACATACTTTGTTTTCTTTTCATCTCTGCTGCCTGTCTCCTGGTATTTGAGCAATATCTGGTAAAATGAGAATGTGGTCACAGCACTACCACAAATACAAGAAATAATCTTTGCAAGATACCCAGCAGAGATTTCTTTTCTAGTACTGTCTTATTGAAAAAGTTTCTTTTACTTTTTTAAAAAAGGCCTTTACTTTGATAAGGCCTTGTGTTCCTACAGTATGTGAAACACCAGGAGTTGCCTCCCTGCTCCCAAGATGGTTTATGATCCAAACAACACTAAGCAACTGCTTGCAGCTCCACTGATTGCAGGAAGGAAAGCTGTGCAGCATTTCCTGCACTTGTGCTAAATATCACCTTGAGCATAGAGCACTGCACGGTCTGCACTGATGCTTCTTAACAATCATTAGAACCACACTTAGTGAACAAAAATCATCAGGCCTAAATGACTACAGCTACTGTGGCACTCCAGAAGTAACAGTAATAAAAGAAACTGCAGTATAAACACGGTTAGAAGTTCCACTTAGAACAGGGGTTAATGGTGAATTACTGAAAAATGATGTGACCTTTTAAATTTGATGTCACTTTCATTATGATCTACTTTCAAAATCTATTTATTCCAGGTTATCAGACCTACCTTTGGCAGCTGTATGATATAATGATATCATGGCTATGATATTATGATATATGGCTAGGTAAGTCCACAGCTGCAATTCCAATGGCTTTTTCTTACTAAAGGTTTCAGTCATGGTGCAAATCAGGAAACTGCTTGTACAGCTCTGAAACACAGAAGGGAGACTCACAGTCATAAAATTTAGTGAAGGAGGAGACATAAGGCCAAGCATTCTTAGTGTGACTCATAGGTTCCAATGGGACTGCAGCAGGATGGAAATAGACCTTATTCACTGTATTAAGTCACCATGCTAATATCATTCATCTTCTGCCAGGGTAGGATTGTTCCCTACTGTTCTATCATTTGAGGTATGAGGACAATGGGGCTGAGGGGATACAAGAAAGCAAGAAGAAAAGCACACAAAAAAACTTATCTTCATTTTTAGCCATCTCCTTTTCTCCATAAAACTTGCTAGACAGATATAGAAAAGACCATTTCACAAAGACAAGAATGCAATAGAAATTGTATTATTAAGCCCTCATGACATTTCTTAATGGAGTTTGGAGCAAAACCAATTTATTTGCAGTAAGGGCACTCGCCTGGGAAGTGGATCTTGGAAGAGCTTTGTATTTTTCCAATGAAGTTTTTGCAAGAGAGAAGAATTCAATAAGGCAGAAAGTATGGCTTATCATTTCCTCCTTCCAGTAAGTATCCTGGGTGCTAGGCTATGTAACTGAACTCATAGCATTTCCTCTTATTCTCACATCTGTAATTTGAAATCCTCTTTTACACAAGGGGCCAAAACCAACTAACCAACCAACCAAACAAACAAACAAAAAAAAACCCACAAATGTGGCACCTCTCCTGTAAGAGCCTAATTTCTTCATTAAACTGGTATATATATCTATGGCTGACCCATGTGAGGTTTGCATTTGGAGGAGGAAAATGCAGCACACCAACCCACTGGGGATGTGATCAAGTCAGTTTGTCAGAGCTTGGCAATCATCAGAAGCAGTGTTTTTTTCCCCCCAGCATGAAGTAACTGAGAATTTTGCTGAATAAAACACACAGATCTCAATCACTTTAAATCCAAAGATATGATCAGCAACTGAGCAGTGGACTACAAGACAGAAAAAGTTTCTCAGAAGAAAAACAAGGCATACAATGCAACGCCAGTACAGTTCTCCACAGTAAGAGTTTCATTTGCTCTACTGTATATATTTAACTTCATGCTTGGATTGTTTTTCTTATGTAGTATCATTTCTAAAACTTCCAGAGAATGCTTAATACAAAGCAGCAAGTGAATAGGGCTACTAAAGGAGCACATACCTCAGGCCTGCTATTGGGTCATATATCCTTGCTAGAAATCACCTCTGCACCTCTTCTGATAACCTCACAATCAGAATGTGTAGAAGTGTGTGGAGGTATTAAGCTGAGCTAAGAAAAACACCTGGTGTCAGGAACAGATGCTTTGGTTCTGTCATAGAAATAACCTGGATCTAGAAAACAAGCATTTTGTGCATCCTGTGTGTCTCATAAAAACACGTGGTCCCACAGTACGTTACTCTGCATCTGCAGACTGCAGTACTTCTTGCAGTCATTAGTGCATGCTCAGGGCTCTAATCTGGACATTTGTGTTCAGGAAGACCACAGAAGCCACCTTTTCACCGGGCTGCTCTTGGAGCATTTATGTCAGTATATACATTCTTAACTGTTGGGATTACATTGATTTCAATGGCACGGACAGCAAAAAGCAGTAAAGGGAAAATCTACCTTCTTAATTAGCAATTCACTGACAGTAATTCAGGGAAATGGAACTTGAGTGTTAGTCAAAAACCTGCTGCAATGTTACCTAGGTTATGCATCATGTAAGTCATTTATTCTTGACTGTGTTCACAGAACAGTGACCATAATCAGTGTTTTCAAACACTTTATTCCTCACTTTGTTTTATCACTATCACCTCCTACTTCCCCCTTGCCTTCAAACAGAATTTTATTAAATGCCTTTTGGCATTCAACATCAATTGAAATCCATTCACAGCACAGCAGGTGAGCTACAGAATGTACAATATTAGCTTAAATTAAATGAAATCCTACCTTGGAAAAGATATGGTCAGTTGATATGACTGCAAAGGCATCCTGGCAAGGCCCTGCTTCCTGGGGACACAGAGCTGATGTTTTTCCTACAGCACTGCAGTACCAGCCAGCTAGGGTTAGCATTAGGGTTCAAATCTATCAAAGACAGAAAAAGTTCTAAGGTTCATTACAAACAGCATATCTCTAATGAAACTTTCCTAAATTACAAGCTCTTCAGAGCAGTAATAGGTCACAAGGATTTGGAAACACACTACTAAGGGGCATGCATTACTAATAAAAGCTTAATGCTAATTTAAACCAGGAATGATGTGTTTAGATATCTAACTAAAGGTTTGTATTTATAGGAAGGTTTGTATTTATAGGAAATATTATTCTATATGCTGAAAATGGGAATTGGATACCCTGCTGTTTCTCATCCACACTTACAGACTCTGTAGTCTTTTAAGACTTTTCTTTTAAAGGAAATTCTCCCGTGAATCCGAACTCTGCAGATGCATCCACAGAACACCTAATGCCCAGCAACTTTTAAAAACAGCTAAAACATCAAATAAAGGAAAAACCCAGCAGTAGTTAAATCTAGCTTAATTATGGAGACATCCGTTATTTGGGAACACATAGCACAGTGGCAGCAGTAGATGACATTCAGTATTCTTCCTGTTTATACTAGAAGCAGGCTCTGCCAACAGGCACCCAGTGAATCTGTTGGCAGTCAGTCCAGGCTAAGACTTCCAGGACTGGCTCTTACTGTGCAATATGGTCCTCAAATCACTCAGTTCCCACAGGAATGCAAGGAGCAGTTGGATGCACGTAGCCAAAGTATAGCTTCATATGTTAAAAGAATTTGTTAGAAGATCATGATAACCTCATTTGTACTATGACTGTAGCAACAATGACCCTTCTGACCTACCATTAAAAAACAACACAGAGACCAAAGCATTAGGGCGTGCTTATACTGCACAATGCCCTATTACTCAGAACCTTCAGAATAACGAGGCACTTGCACCAGTTTTCCTTACTCAAGCCAATGCTAAACCCTGAGCAGTACCTCCCTCCAGCACTGTACTAAAGCACAGACATAACATACAGAAGCTGGGAATGCAATGGAGAAATGTGTGCCATTACCATATACCATTCCTGAGCGTCATAGGGCAATTTCCTCCCATACTGAGAATACATTTCCAGGTAAGCAAAATGCTGACAGTAGACATTCTCATATACGTGCACTAAAATGGACCAGCGATCGATACTTGATGGTAAAAGAATTCTCAGCGCTGTTTCTGCACGCCCGGTGTTTGCCTCAATTCATACTCGGAGCTGGGAGGATTCCTCGCTTGACTGTGCTGAGAGCGCCACCTGCTGGCTGCTCTGCGTTACTGCAACTCCAATCCAGAGCCATTGGGAGGAACAACCGCCGCCTGGAACGTGATATTCAATTATTCATTAAAATTAAGAATGGTATTAAATTAATTGATATGATATTTTATGATTCTCAGGGTATCCATAAGGCACGGCCTGTCTTACTGCTTCAAGAACAATACCAATTTTAGCATGCCAATAGAGGAGGTTGGGAAGTTTGGGGAGTTTTGCATTAGTAGGTTACATACAGGCTAGAACTAGAACCAAGAAGTGGTATTTAGATCCTGACACGAGATGGTTTAGAATCTGAATTTAAAAGTAAAATTTGGGCTAGTGTTTGGTTTAGTGGGGAAATACTGGTGGTAGGTGGATGGCTGGATGAGATGGTCTTGGAGGTCTGTTCCAGCCTTGGTGATTCCATGGTTCTGTGATTCAATGAATGCTGTTGCTCTTCTCAGACAGTTTTCACCAGAGACAAAACTACAATAGATAATTTAATCCCAGGCTGTTCTAGTGGGATTTTCACTATTTCAAACCGATCTAATCTGGATTAGGAAAACATCTCTCTGAAAACTTCATGATTTCTCCAAACCAAAAAGTGGAGACAGACACAGTTCTAGAAATTTAAGTATCATTTTATCCTATCTCCATGAATTAAATAACAGAGATACAGTGCAGACATAGGGCTTACAGTTTAAATATGTTTTTAGTGTAGCTGTGTTCTAAATTGTGGATCTGGCATCAACAATAAAGTGAAAGAAACTCACCTTTCAGGAATTACATTGTTTCAACCCACTGTAAGGTGTGCAAAACTTGTGTCTGTACAGATTTTAACTACAGCAAAAGAGAAGGGAATCTTAAACCAACCTGCAATGCTGCAAGAAAGGTTGACAGCAACAAAACAAAAAGCATTTTTCAGCAGTTGCTGTTGATGTCACCCATTTGATCTATGCTCAGATTGAATTTAACAGTGGATTTAAAATCAAAAAAAGGACATCTATTAATGTATCTTCATTTGTGCTCTGTTTTAAAGGATTTAGTTTGAAGAAAAGATGAGTGGGGAAGTAAATCAGATGGATGATGTACTCCGTGTTATTCTCAGAGCAGTAGAAGCACATAGCTTTGCTGAGTAACCCAGTGTTCTATAAGATGTGATTGCTTTTCAGACAAAACACACTTTTGGAAGGTGTCCAGCTGCAGTACTTGTGTCTGTGAGTGTCAAAATACTTCAACCAAGATAGATTTCTTCCTTTAAGACAGCTGAAGTCATTGGTTGAACACTCAGAGAAGTAACTTTACTATTTAAGACTACCTAAGCCTTAGCTTTATTTTGCTGATACCCACCAAAAGCCTCTGACACAATTCTTACTGAATCTTCTCTGAGGTTAAGTCATGTCAGATGCCATGTTAATCACTTGGAATTAAGGTTGCTCAGAACTGAAGGCACGGGATTCATTACAGCATTTAACCATGGATAGATACTGGTAAAACTCAGAAGGATATGGGTGAGTCTGGAAGCCAAACAATTTATTTTTTCAAATAAAAATACAGGAAATGAGATTGTGAATGCCTAATTAGTGCCTCTGGGATATAACATCTTTTGCAAAGACTACTTAGTTTTTGAAGTTCTTAAATTCAGATCCCAAATCTTAGCTTTTCACAATTACCAGCGATTGCCTTGAAACTTGAATGGAAGCCAATAAAACGTGCACGTAAAAAAAAGCGTTGATCTTGTGAAGTGCAGCCATGCCTTTCTATGGCTCCTTTCCACATGAAGGACCACATATTCAGCTGCTTCAGTCTCTGACACCACCAATAACACTGAACATTGTGTGAAACTAACAGACGGATTTTTGCTCTTCTCTCTTACACGCAATCAGCAGAAAGAGAACAGTTTCAAGCACTGCTTTAGGAACAGCTTTACACTAAACATTAAGATCATACCTGACCTCCACTAAACAGAGAGGGTAGAACAGGAATTTATGCTCCTGCAGACTTTTAGCCCCAGAGTGATTTAAAAGTCCTTGTCAAGAACATCAGGAGGTCTAACAGCTAGTGATAATTTCATCAGCCTAACATTTTTAAATAATTAAAAAAAAGCTGCACATAACTGTTTATGTTCCATTATTTTCCCCAACCTACCTCTTAACACCACTCCAACAGTAAGAAAAGCACAGCTGTGTTAGCTGTCTCCCTTTCTGTCTTTTAGAGTGTGTCCTTAACAGAGAAGAAAGCACGAAGAAAGTGCCTTACAGCTTTCTTATATTCAGTTTGCAATTTTAAATGTAAACTTCTGAACCCAACAAACAATTCTTGTTCACTACATCCCAAATCCCTAAGCACTAAAGTGGCTTGCTTGACACTGACCAAAATCTATTAAGAATGGATCCAATTATCAAGCTCTTACACTGGAAATTCTTGAGAGCTTTGATGCCCAGCAATTAATTCAGAATCTTCAGCAAGCCGACATTCTATCTGAGGAAGGTTGTTGTTCTGTGATAAGCAGGACATCTGGAGCCTAAAAGCAGAGTCTCAGCGTTCCACAAGCTGTGGAGATGTACACTGTGCCCTGCTTGGGTTGGTACTATAGGCACCACAACATTATAATTAGCAGCCAATTTCTGTAAATAATTTGTGACCAAATAAGGGTTCTGACCTATTTAGTTCATGACCTTTTGGCTGGATAGCATCTCCAGTAGAACCCAATGACCACCCCTTGCAAGAACCCTGTGCATGCACAGTATTAGATGTTAATATGTATAGCAATTCTTGGAATTCACAGCAAATGTATGAATATTTGCATATTGAATGTATCTGTGTGTTTTTTAGCTCCTGTGTGTGCATTCAAAGAGAGAGATCCCATGTGCACTCAGTGCTGCAGTAAGCTGCCATCAGCTTTCATCATGCAGGTGAGTTGACAAACTAATTCTGATTTTTAATAACAAGGGATCATATTAGAGATAAGATCTGTACATAAACATCTGCATTAAATGCAAAGCCCAGGAGTGTCCAATTTTCTTCAGGTATCTGGATGCTTTTGAAAAACCCTCAGCTTCATCAAACCTTCAGTTTTGAAGGGCCAAGGGAGACATTCAGAAGGTAAATAAATAATTGATTTATTGTCTGTGGCCACATCCCAGCATTTATTGCATTTATTATATTAACTCTGATCTTGTGAGCTGCTAACACCATGACAACATTCTTTTTACGTTTCAAAATATTCAGGTAGGTGAAATTTAATCTCATTATTGTGGTTGATCTCATCCCACTGATGTAGCCTATCCATACCACTCTTCAGAGCTTTCCAGGTTTCTGCAAACTTCTTGAGGGTGCACTCAGTCATTCACTGTTAAAGAAAGCTGTCCCCAGTACTGAGCCCTGGGGAGTGCCAGAGGTCACTGGCCACCAAATGGATTGAACTCCATTCACCTTGGCACAGACATCACCGTTAGCCACGCATGATCGAGATGATCTTCATTTTGTGGTGACTTTTGAAGCAGCCCTTGTAGAAAAACATAATACAGTAAGCATACATAAATCACAAAACTTGTTTTTAGAAAAAAAATATTTAAAATATTAAAAAAGAGCAACAAAAACAACACCAGTAGGATATGTGACCGTGTTTTTGTGACAATAATGCACTGGGCTGGTTTGGTGGCTGTGGCTGCAATTCTCAGTGAGCTCTGAGGCATTCATCAGAGATTTTTGATGACATTTTACTCTCCCGGTGCTTCATCCTTGAAAACAGTTCTTCACAAATGTCTGCACTGCCAGAAAGTGATGACATGATGAGGCAGATTGTGCAGCGAGGGGTGTTTCTCTCTGGTAGAGAAACACGATCAGATTCTTGAGTTGAATATCTGATTGCAACTCTCTACATTCCATCTGAAAATTCACAGATTCGTGGTATTTATGTCGACTGAAAATGGAGTCACAAATATACCCAAAAAATCAATATATTTTTTCTCCAATCTTGAAGCCTCTTTTCAAATTCCTCTAATCAAAATAGAAAGCACTGCTCCATTTTTCTCAGCTCACAGGCTTCTTTCACTCCCTCTTTTATGGACAGAAACCAAAACCAATAAAGCTGCCTGAAGACAGTAACACAGGCCCTATCTCGGCCACTGGCAGCTTTTCACAAGAGCAAAGACTTTCTGAATATATTATTCTTCAGGTATAAAACTCCCTATTTCTACTTGCTCACCGCTCTTCTACCTTCCAGCAAAGGGATATGCATCCTACAGACACAGATATTACAACACAGGTTGGAAAAGACCTGCGAGATCATCGAGTCCAACCACAACCTAACCATCCTACCCTAACTCCAACAACCCTCTGCTAAATCATATTCCTGAGCACCACATCCAAATGGTTTTTAAATGCATCCAGGGATGGTGACTCAACCACCTCCCTGGGGAGCCTATTCCAGTGCTTAACAACCCTTTCTGTAAAGAAGTGTTTCCTGATATCTGACCTAAACCTCCCCTGGCGCAACTTGAGGCCATTTCCCCTCATTCTGTCCCCTGTCACCAGTGAGAAGAGACCAACCCTGCTGTCGCTGTAAGCACCTTTCAGGTATTGGAAGAGAGCAATAAGGCCTCCCCTCAGCCTCCTTTTCTCCAGACTAAACAGCCCCAGTTCCTTCAGTTTATCCTCGTTGTTGGACGCCAAGGGCAGCCTGGTGACCAAGGATCAGGATAAAGCTGAGGTACTTAATGCCTTCTTTGCCTCAGTCTTTAATAGTAAGACTTGTGATTATCACTGTTGTTATTATTATTTAAAATATACATATTGAACACAGAAGAATGGCTCACGCCTACCGGAAAACTGGATTTCCCTGGGATGGGCTTAACAGCGTGTAATATTTTCTCTTGGGTGCCAAAGTTTCAAAGGGTCTCTCCCTTACAATTTGAGTCTTTAATACTGTGTTTTCAATTTTAGCTTTCATTCTGAGGAAACAGCCAAAGAAAAATCCACGCACTTGCTCTGACAGGAACAGAGTTGTGGACTCAGATTCCAGAGCTTTTTTTTTTAATGTGGCCTCACCAGGGCACGTCAGCTCCCTCAACATGCTGTCCAGAGCTTTTTATAGGATTCCATTAGCCCTCCTGGCCACCAGGGCACACTGCTGGCTTATGGACAACCTGCTGGCCACTGGGACCCGCAGGTCCTTCCTCACAGAGCTCCTCTCCATCAGGTCATCCCCTGACCCGTACTGATACATGTGGTTATTCCTCTCCAGGTGTAAGATTCCACTTTTGCTCTTGTTAAACCTCATCAGTTCCTCCCTGCCCACCTCTTCAGCCTATCTTCAGCAGTATGTGGCGAAATACAACTAGAAAACGTCCTTCAGACCCATTTTAACCCTCAAAACATCAAACTACCTCAACTTTCAGAAGCAGAGGCAGTCACCTCATTTCTACCTATCTGGAAATGATGGGTGTTTCAGTTACACATTTACACACCGCGCCTTCCCATCTGCTCCAAAAGACACAAGATAGAACCGGCCGCGCTCCCTCACAAACTCCAGCTCCCGGCAGCCCTCAGCCCGCCCGCCCCCAGCCCGCCATCCCGCCCCCTTCCCGCCACTCCGCCCCCTTCCCGCCCCTCCGCCGGCGCTGCTGAAACCCCGTGCGTGCGGCCCGGCCGCTCTTTCTGCACGCCGCCATTCCGCGAGCAGGACGCGGCCGAGCTCCGCTCCGTTGCCGCGCGTGGCCCCGGCCCGGCCGCCCCTCACCGCCTCTCCCCCGCGGGTGCCGGCCTCGACATGCAGATCTTCGTGAAGACCCTCACGGGGAAGACCATCACCCTCGAGGTGAGGCCCCGTCTCGCTGTGTCGGGTGAGGCCCGGGAAGGCCTCGCGGCTCAGGGCGGGCGGTGCGGGCCGGGCTGGTTGAAGGCAGGCTGCGTGCTCGGCTTGTTGCGGGTTTTTCTTTTTTGTTGTTTTTCGTTTGTTTTTTCCCCATCGCTTTGTTTCGCCACAGGTTGAGCCCTCTGATACCATAGAAAATGTGAAAGCTAAGATCCAGGATAAGGAAGGTCAGTTGAAGACGTTTCTCGCATCCCACCCTCAGTCGGATCCACGCGTGGTTCGCGTTGCTTATCCCCTCTCGCTGTGTCTCACTGGTAGGAATTCCTCCTGATCAGCAGCGACTGATTTTCGCTGGGAAGCAGCTGGAAGATGGCCGCACGCTGTCTGACTACAACATCCAGAAAGTGAGTAGGAAGCGCTGGGCTGAGCCATGGGAACTGTGCTCCACCCAGACTGAGCCCAGCCGGCCTGCCTGGCACTCCTAGCTTGGTGCAGCCCATAGCTGCAGGTCAGAAGCAAAACATTTCCAACAGCTTGCATTGCTCCTGCTCGGTCAGCCCTGGCTCTTGGCGCTGTGACTTTAAATTGCTGCACAGTGCTACCAGGTTAACCTCACTGTGAGGCCAGGTGAGCAGTGGTGCCACTAAGAAGTGGAAGAACAGTTCACCATTTTCAGCAACAAGTTTGGTTGCATCGTGAAACTGTTCTGAAGCTTCAGATAGAAATGAGGAGTGTAGACACAACAGATATTATTATCAATATTATTTAGCCCTTTTGGGCTTTGGAGTGCAGCAGCACATGGTTCTGTGAAGCAGGTTCATTTGCAGACTAAATGGCAAAAAAATCTTTTTAAAACTTTCATAGTTAGCTGGAACTTGAAATCCTGCTTAAATACTCTTGTAGATGAAAGAAAAAACCTGCTTAAATACTGCTCTGCTTGAGAAAGCATTTTGTGTATTTCACAAATAGGAATCAACTCTTCACCTTGTGCTGAGACTGCGTGGAGGTGCTAAGAAAAGAAAGAAGAAGTCTTACACCACCCCCAAGAAGAACAAGCATAAGAGGAAGAAGGTTAAACTTGCTGTGCTCAAGTACTACAAGGTATGTAGAGCTACCTCTTAAGGAAGGTTGGCAAAGCTTAGGCCTCACTGCAAGAGGGACTGGTTATAGTATGTGAAGGCTGTAACTAGCCTGCGTGTCACCAGATGTATTTAAAATCCTATTTGCAAGTATACCATCTGATCAGAAAGAGAAACTTGACTGCTACAGTCAGGCACTGTTGAACTTTGCTTTGATAATTCAGAGGCAGGAACATCTACAGAAAATACTTTGTAGAAGAAAAGTACTTGAAAGTAATTAGTGCTAAATGTGGCAAGTACAGGTGAGATGTTGCCTCTTTGTCCTTGGCAGGTGGATGAGAATGGCAAGATCAGTCGTCTGCGTCGAGAGTGTCCCTCTGAGGAGTGCGGGGCCGGGGTCTTCATGGCTAGCCACTTCGACAGGCACTATTGTGGCAAGTGCTGTCTGACATACTGCTTCAATAAACCTGAAGACAAGTAAATGTACTAGACAATAAAAATCTCAAGTTCTCTACTGTGTGAGGATTTATTTCTGCATGGTATTTCCGCTGATAAGCTAGAAGGGTTTTAAATTCTGGATGCGACTATTAACTCCAGTGAAGTCATTTCAAATCTGGAGCTGAAGCACCAACTTTAAGAGTGCCTTTGATTAAGATATTTTTTGTACCTCTAGAATGCAGCAATATCATAATGCTAGATTATCTTCCAGAAAAATTTTCCTGTCTAAGTCATTGAGTAATACTTGTGACTGGAGAAGATGTAATACAAACCATTTTTATAGGCTACTTATTAACCAAAGGTGGTGGTTTGTCATTTTTTAACTCATATTTAATATTGAGCTATAGTATCTGCTACATGTAATATATCAGTGTGAAAATACTAGCTCTTAAAAGAGCAGAATGCTGTTTTTTTTAATTGAAATTTTACTCTATACCTTAAGGTAAGTCTCTTAAAAAAAAAAAAAATGAGATGAAATCCTGCAGACTTCAATGGCCAAAGTCCTGTGCATCTCTACTTGTGTGGCTCATCTGTGTACTACTAAAGATTCAGTGTATGAAATACACATTATAGAAACACTCCTAAGCTTACCAAAATATTCTTTTCTCATTTCTGGTCAGATCTGATAGTAATTTTTGATCTGTTTTTCATAGCATCAGCAAAATGTGAATAAATTAGTTCTGGAATTGTTTTTTGCAGGGGCAGAGTTTGCATTTTATAAGGAAAGATGGGGTAGCAATGACAGATGAGAAAAAACTTCTAAGTAAGTGGCCTGTTTAAACATGAACTTAGAAGACAGATGGTACTATTGCAGTTCTCACCAGGAAAACTAGGACACACACACAAAAAAAATGGAAGTCACATTTCTGTGCTAGAGGCAGAGGGCAGTCCACACAAAGCTGACAATGTTCTGAAAAATGGTGCAGTACCATTGTGGGGGAAGAAGACTGCTCAGAAACCTAGAAACAAGCATCAGAAATACTTGTACCTTGTTTCATAAACATGAAGTGCTCGTCCTTAGTGTAATCTTGTGTTCCAAGGACATAAGCTGGCTGGTGGATGAGGTTTGAGAGTGGAACAATACAGAAGCAGCAGGTACAGGGACACAGACGAGTTTTTTCCATAATTAAGTTCATTTAATGTTAAAAGAGTTCAAGGCAGGAACAGGACACGACCTTTAGTGTTAGGTATTCAACTGTGTTTTAAAACCCTGGATTCCAGGAAGTTGTCTGTTGAATTTCTTTTTCTTCATAACAGATGATTTCATCTCCAATATTGAATTCTATATGCTTGTCCAAACTTAATCCACAATCCATACCTGTTTTTATTACTTGGACATCATCTTTATGGTGTTTCAATGATGATAAAGATCCTATAGAGAGAAGGAGAGGCAGAGTCCACTAACAGCATCAGAGCACGGAGATGCTTTGCTTTCCTTGTCTTACATCATTAAGATTTTAGATGCAGCTAGAAAATGAAAGCGAGAAATCCTAGGGATGATGAGCATGTGCAGCTAATGGAAGTGAGGCATCAGTGCTTTTTAGTGGGTGAATCTGGGCTGCTGCTGCTTTTCTATCAGGCATGGTGGCTTGGAACAGGTATAACTAACACCACTTTTCTCTACTTGGAATAATTCCATTCTGAATAGCATATCTGAGTGAACTGTGACTAGATGCACACATTTTACACCAATTTCACAGGAATTAGTACTGTGGACAGGGCTAGTTCTGTAGCCATTCTACTTACCTTTCCAAATAACATTCCCTTTACGGATTAACTTAAATTTCATCTTCTTGTCCAGCTGCCCTTTCTGTACTCTGCACCCAGCTACTGAAACTTTGTTTTTTCCCACTGTTACAGAGAAGATGTCAAGAACAGAAGCTTCCCCTAAAAAAAAAATAATAATAATAATTAAAAAATAAAATTAAGTAAACCCAAGCTACACTCTTCCACTTACCAAGCTCTTTACCAAAACAGGAAAGCAGCTACAGAGAAGTATTAAATATTTGATACAGCAGGAACACTTTATCAGAGAATAAATGTAAGGCTGCAAAAGTGTGATTTAACACTCAGTGAAAACTCACCTATTGTATTTTCCACCACGGATGGGGGTAGTCTGCTACTCAGCTCATCTTTCAAATCCTCAATAAGTTTGTAGATGATGTTGTGAAGTTTAATTTTTATTCCCTTTTTAGCAGCCATCTTTTTAACAGTTTCATTTGCTTTCACACTGAATCCATAAACAACACCTGTCAAACACAACAATCAGCAGCTGGTAACCACTGATGACTTTTTAAAGAGTGAAAGCATTTGCCATCTCCTGTAACAGCTTAGTTTCTGCTAACTGTAAATTTATCTTTAAACATACACTCACCATTAAATGTTTCAGCAAGGCTTAGATCAGTTTCACTGATATCTCCCATTCCAAAATGAATGACATCCAATTTACACTCATCATCTGCATCGTAGCTGTCCAGAACATTCAGAATAGCTTCCACAGATCCATCCACATCACCTGTGTATGTAAATGGCAGTGCTGCTGACTTCGTATGAACAATGTGATACTGAGGAATTAAGGCAACTCCACATTATGCAAAATAATCCAGATCTTCTTCTACTTAATACTCTCTTTATATTTCTTGCAGTACTTTAAAACACATCTGAAAAGCCTCTGCATTACAAAAGTGAAATAAATATAATAGGAGTATAGAATGAAATGTCTGTTACAAGTCTGACTTGACAGGTGTAGAAGCTCCACACCTACTGCTATTTTCAGGTCAAGTTTGTGTAGTTTTTCAGCTATTACTTTTAATGCACATACAGTACTGTACACATGGTCAAACCAACTAATGTGTAGCTGTTCTTTTCCTCTGTTCTCCTAATGCAGTACTGCTGCTCAAACAGCTTGCTTACACACTCATGCGTGTGCACCCACACACACTTCCAATGACCTTCTGCTTTCCTTACTGATAGATGTTCAATACTCTGTTCAGTTTTAAACTGATCAAACTTCTGGTAACTGAAGTTTTGCTCATGCTTTAGCATGCAGCTTTCATGCTGCAGACTGAACATCTGAGAAGCACAGAACCAATGCAGCAGTAAACAGAACAGGTGAGCACCTTTAATGATTATCGACAGCACATTTTTGTCCGTTTCCACTCTCTCTTTTGGTTTTAAGAACATAAGATGCTTGCTGGCCTTGTACAGGGCTGCCTTTCTCTGTCTCCAGGTCAAATGGGCTAAATTCTGTTGCTTCTTCTCATATTCCATTCTGTGTTCCTTTTGCTTAGCTTCGATAACTTCTCCGTCCTTTTTCATTTTCTCTTGTTGTTCAACGTATGTTCTCCAGGCCACAACTTCATGTGCCCTTTGCTGAGCATGAAAAAAAAAAACAAACATCACCTTTCAAATCACTGCACTGAAAATCTCCACCTTAACCCCATTTTATCCTTTTGTTTCTTCTGTCAAACCAGCTCCCTCATAAAATTACAACACAGATACTGTTAAGCACTGGGATGTTTTCCAGGTAAGGTCACATCATGGTCACATAAAAGAGAAAACAGCCTTTCTGAAAGCAGAGGCGCTAAAACATATCCCAGGTTAACTCTGAAACAGCCCAACTCAGGCCTTAATACCCATCTTCCAGCAGTTTATGCTGGGTATTTAGAAGACATACTTATTTTCTGAATATTTTCTACATATAAACAAAGAAAACCTTTATGTCCTTTCTTATCATCTTTCTGCAGTATGACTCTCCCATTAAACAGTTCTTTCTGTACCTCAGATTCCACTTCAAGGATCTCATCTCCTGCTGAAGGGACTTCCTTCCAGCCCATGATTTCCACTGGGATGCTGGGAGAGGCTGCATCTACAGCTTTGCCATTCTCATCAAACATGAAACGCACTTTTGCCCAGGTCTTCCCTGCAACCAGAACACAGCCTTTCCTCAGAGTTCCTCTCTGGATGATGGCTGTGGTAACTGGACTAGCGGAAAACAGAGGGAAAAATGAACAGACCAAATTCAAGTAACTCTCCATTAACTAAAGTAACCAGGGTTATCAACATAAAAAAATAATGTTTTGGTGATTGATCACGGGCATTCCTGTGACACATTCTATTAGCAAGCTAAGAAAAACTTAAAGGGACTTATAATGATAACCAAACCCGGGCTGCACTCCTCATTTCTGCAGATTAACACAAGATTTGATATCTTCAATCTTTCAGTAACTCTGCATGAAGCAAATCCCTGTTCCTCCTCACTCAAAAAAAAACAAACAAACCAAAAACCACCAAACAAAAGCCAACCCAACTTCTCAGCCTTCAGTTTATTTTTGAAGAGGGAGAACACACCTTCTGAAAAGAGAATATGCAAAAGGACTAAAATAATTCGAAGAGTAAAATGTCAGACCATTTTTTTTGCAAATTGTGACGTATTTACTACATTTACTACTATGAACTTTGTCAGCTCTACTTTCCAGTGATGTTGAAATGCTAAAACAGATGTATTTCTTGAAAACATTTTCTGAATGTACAGGATTTTAGTAATACAACGATTTGTGCTCTAGCACGTTATGAATGCTTTTTCTGTACATGATGCTGTAGAATTATGATTTAATTAGCTACTGTTTTATGTGTTGGTTTTTCAAGTACAACTTTAAACCTAAAAATTGAAGTAGGGACTGCCTGCACAGTATTGATGCACTGTTACAAACTTCTTCATCAAAGCTGTAAAGAACACAGATAACTTACCCTTTCCCTTTGTCTTTGCGAGACTCAATGATGGTCCCCTCTACCAGACCTGTGTAATCTGCCTTCAGTTCTAACATCTCAGCCAAAGCAACAGTTGCTTCTGCCAAAACTGTCAGGTTGTCACCCTGTATGGAACAAAGCAAAACAAGAGTAAGGTAATGCACAAATTAAAAAGATCTGAATTCCAAATCAGCACTATGATCTGCCATTCAATTCAGAACTTCTAACAATACAGTACCAACATAGATGGCAATAAAGTAAACGACGTGACAGACTGTTAGGACTGCTGCCCATTATGCAAGGCACATTAGTAAGGACAGTTTTCCTAAGGAAAAATGAAGCAATGGTGATCGCTGAAGATCTGAGGTTCAAAATGATTCTGGTAAGAGCCAACAGCTCATGGTAATGTGTCCAATACCAGAAAGATAAGCATTCATCTTCCAACTGTCAAATAAGTGTGTGAATGCACATGGTAGACATCCATCAATGCAACGTTTGTTTGACCAAAACTTTACCTTGAGTGCAGAAATATTTACAGCCTGAACATCACCTCCAAACTCCTCACAGACCACATCATAAGCCAGCAATTCCTTCTTTACTCTTTCAGGATCAGCTTCAGGTTTGTCACACTTGTTAATGGCGAGGACGAGAGGAACTAAAATGAGAGAACAAGCCCATCATTAACCTAACAAAAACTCACTACCCAGTACAGTTGCAATAGGAAGCTAGAACAGGTTGTGACTACTTAGAACAAATCAGCTTACTCCCTAGGCAACCTTGGGAAACCAAAGGCAACTGAGCTACCCTAATTAGTAGCTTGGAGGAACCACAGTAGTGAAGAGGGGGAAAAAAGAAAGAAAACAAAGCTACCTACAAACTACGTATGTTTTTCTGGCAAATCTGCAAATCCTGAAACAAATATTTCAGTATCTTTAGGTGTTAGTGTAACTTTCAGTGTATTTTTAGACACCTTCCCCATGGAGAAGGCAGCAGGATGAGGGCAATTTCTTCACAAGAGTTACAGCTCTAAATTCAAGCAGTTTCCTTTGAGAGGTGAATAAAGGTGTGCAAAGTGCTTGGTACTGAGCTGCACAGCAACATTACACCTTGTATATTAACTCCGTGGCTTGCCACTCATTTACAAATGTAACATTAACAAGTTGAATACAGTACCTCCTGCATTTTTAGCATGTTCAATGGATTCTACAGTTTGCTGCATCACTCCATCCTCTGCTGCTACAACCAGGATGATGATGTCAGTCACATATGTACCTCTTGCTCGCATGGCTGAAAAAGCTGCATGCCCAGGAGTATCAAGGAAAGTGATCTTTTCCCCAGAAGGCAGATGCACTGTGAATAAATGATATATTTTATAAATGATGTATTTTATAATCAGCATTTCACATAGCTTTGTTTGACCTTTTGTAAATTAAGCATTGCTCATTTGAGGACTTACAGAGGGGAAAAAAAAAGATATTTTAGGCAGACAGGTGACTGTTGGCATGGAGGTCATGAGTGCTTTTTCTTCTTAGAGAAGAAAAAAAGACATCTTGGAATCTTTCATAATCCAAAACAATCTAATTTCAACTGCACACATAATCCACTTCAAAGTTCCATCCACACAGTTACATGGATTTGTCCAGTTGAGAGAAAAGCAGACCAACATGTAATCTGGTTGTTCTCTACAATTTCCTGAGCAGAGCAAGCAGAGAAGGAAGAAGGGTCTCTTCTCACTGCTAACCAACAACAGGAAGAACAGGAATGGCACAAAGCTGCACCAGAGTCCAGACTGGGTGTTAGGAAAAACATTGTGAGGGTGGTCAAACACTGCCTAGGCTCCTAAGACAAATGGCTGATGACCCAGGTGTGTCAGTGCTCAAGAGGCACTTGAAAGATGACCTCAGTAACATGCTTTGACTTCTGGCCAGCCCTGAAGTAGCCAGGCAGTTAGATCTCTGTAGGTATCTTCCAAATGAGCTATTCTATTCTATTCTGGTTACCACAAGTTATGCTTTCCTTTTTCATATGCATATAAACTGGGTATGCTGCAACATTTTCCCCAATGACCTGTCAGCAAGTCAGCCCATTATGTAAGATAAGTCATTTTACACACATACAAGCACACTTGGATCATACCAAGAAAAGCACCAATGTGTTGTGTGATGCCTCCTGCTTCCATGGCTGCCACCTGAGTCTTCCGTAGGCTGTCAAGTAAAGTTGTTTTCCCATGATCAACGTGGCCCATTATAGTAACAACTGGGGGCCGTGGAGTTAAGAATGCTGGCTCTGCAGGAGGTCTACAAGCAAGACAAAATATATTTCATAAACATCAGAAGTTCACCACGCCACCCCACCGTGCCCACTGTGCCTAACAAACTGCCATTTGCCAGCACTCTGTGATGCAGAGGTAAGCCCAGCTTCTCCCCACCATAACCACAAATCCGAGCTACATCACAGTTTGCCCTCCTAGCATTCAATCTTCCTGCTGCATCAATTAGTGCAGCAATTCAGTACACTGAAGAAGAGTTGGCTTTACTTCAGAGGACCACTTAGAAAAACACCTAAAACTAATCAATCTGAGCACCAGTGTAACAGGTAAAGAAAGCAAAATAGTATTTAAAACGTACAGTTCACTATCTGTAGTGTATAGTTCCTGACTATGACCACATCAGGTATCATCTACACACTGTTAGAAGGAAATACAGTATACAAACAACACTTGGAGAAGGAAATAGGCTGAAAAGAACAAGGAGGAATGGTTCACAGTTCACCGTTTCACTGCATCTTTGTTTTCTCTTTCTTTTTCCTCTCTCAGTTTTGCTGACTTATACTTCATTCCTGATTTTTTAACAATTAGCTTGATAGAGTCTTCATATAAAATGGAATCTGGTTCTAGGGAATTGAGGTCAATATCTGTGTACAGCAGGGCTTCATAAATATGATCTGAAAAAAAGAGAAAGACATTTAATAACCCCATAAAAAAAGCACATGGGACCGAAACACACAAATATGATTTGTCTGTTAGCAGCTCAGATTGTACCAACAAGTTTCATTCACAAAGCATTCTTGCTTTAGGCAGATTCATCTAAAAGTTCCTGTTATACCACACACCTACAGGGAATAACTTCTATCTAAAATGTCCACGGAAAGTGATTGCGTCAGATGATATAAGAAAGAAGGAAATCTGATTAACCTGCTCATATGCCACTCTCTCTGGCAGTGGATATACAGAGCATACTGCAATAATCCAGAATTGTTACACATGGATTTGAGCATCATTACAAATCTCTCTGAAACGCACAGAGAGGTGCGACAGACTCTTGTTTCTCTATTTCTGAGAGGGAAGGTTGCAGAAAATTACTGAACTGGATAAAATAGATTAGGAATTGCAATTATAAAGGCGTGTAATTATTTCAAACATCAATGGTCAAAGCATGTTAGTAACTCCTTAGAACATCCTTGAAAAATGATTAAACTGAGCCACTGTACAACCAGGAATGGCTCATGGGGTTAAAAGAAACAAGCCTATTTCTGCAATCCAGTTATAGGGAACCACCCAAATAGGAAAGTGTTGTGAGCAAGTTCTTAAGACACCCCCTTCCCAGTTAGTCAAATGGCTGTTTTAATGGAACACAGATCGCTCCTGAATCAAACTTCCTGCTCCCAGGCAGGGATCTAAGGGCTGGACTGCAGGCAGATGCTCTTCTGTACCTTCTCTTCTTAGCCCTGAACTCTGCACTCACAGAGATCCATCTTCAACAAAGCAGGATGCAATGTTTCTCTTCCCACAATATAATGTAGCCCTCTGGGAGCACAACCAGAGAGCAACCTACTCAGATCTGAAGCCCATCTGCTGGAGAACAACCAGAGTTTCGGCTTCTTTACGCTGAAATGTCCTCCCTGACGGTTTGGATGGCCTGGCATCATGCCTACCAACACCTTCCTCCTCTCTGGTTAAATATATTTGATTAAGCAAGTTATTTGGTACGGGCCTATACTGCAAGGGGACGGATTGGTAATCACTAACACCATTATTTGACTTCACCATTCATGAAAGTGGTACGACTGATGGACACACCACAGTGACATTTATCTTGAACAACAGAGAAGCTCTCACCTATGTCTTTACCCATTGCTCTTGCAAGTTCCTCAACAGTCATCTGCCGCCTTATCTCCACTTCCCCTTTGGTCATGGGTAACTTCCTTCTGTCCTTTTTCTTCTCCTACATGGAATTAGACACGTACATAGGAACACATAGCTGGCATAAACTAAGAAATAATAAAAACAACATTAAAAAGACAGTGGTCTCAAGCTGCACGTTGCAAACCCATCTGTCTTCTACCCTAAGATAAATGAATGACTTAAACATCCTACTGAACGCTTAACATACACACACTACCTTCAATTGTTTTTAATTTTCAATTGTCTAAAACAAGGAAAACAAATCATTTTCTCCTGCCTTTGAAACATTCATGATGCTGCTGGTAAAAGTACTTCATGTCAATATTTGAGAAGGAGTTACAAGACAGCCTTAAACAAGTACATTTTGTAAAAAAAATATTTAGAATAGCTCCTGTATATTCATTAATAACGCTTCCTTGTTTTTTGTTATTAAATGCTCAGATTGATTTCTTGCACTTTGAAATTTCACATAAAACCAGAGATTACTGGGTTTTGTTAATTACCTCTTTAGTAGCTAGATATCTGCATGGTGATGAGGCAACTCTGACCAAGTTGCCCTTCTGCCAGCACTGTGGATATGGATGGACGGACTGCGTGGGACACACAGATGACTGTACAGGCTTCCATTGTGCTCTGCAAACTCCCCTGCAGGGAAGAGTGTGCAACTGTCTGCAAGCATCACGGAAATGGATCAGATTTTCAAACTTCAGTATCAGCCTTCGATTCATTTCCTCACTGAAAATGCAAGAGGACACAATGAGAGTTGCTCTCTGCCAGGATAATACTCACAGGAACAAAACAAAACATTACAATTATAGAAATGCTCAGGTTGGAGAAGACCTTAAAGATCATCAAGTCTGACCGTAGGAACGTTTGGATTTTGCGTTGAGGGACATGGTTTAGTGAGAACTATTGGTGATAGGTGGGTGGTTGCACTGGATGATCTTGGAGGTCTTTTCCAACCTTGGTGACTCTGTGATTCTGCATGACTGCAAATGCTTCAAAGCAGGCTTTTTGATACTGACGAAGTTGAACTATGTAACACTGTTCATTTTTGGGCTTTACCTTCCTGCCCTCACACTATCCCGTTTCAAACATGGATTTGTTAATATCAGCACAACTTAGAAGCCTTCCATCCATCCCTACTGAGCTTTAATATAAACTACTAAAATCATTACCCCAGGTTCCGTGACATGACCTATAAACAAAGGGACGTTTGTGCTCTCTGTGCTGCACTTACAGTTTCCCTGTTACAACCTAAATCTCCCCATCACTAAAAGCAATCTGCAAAGCACCACTTCCACGAGCTATACCACTACTGCAGGACTGCAGCCCTGTCATGGTTTCAGTGTTGTCATATGCACACAGTGACATCTTTCAGGGCTAAGCCTATAACTTTCCAAGGTTATAGAATCACGGAATGGCTTCGGTTGGGAGGGACCTTAAAGATCATTGAGCTCCAACCCCTGCCGTGTGCTGGCTGCCCCCCAGCAGCTCAGGCTGCCCAGGGCACAAACAACCTGGCCTTGGGCACCTCCAGGGATGGGGCACCACAGCTCTCTGGGCTGCACTGCCAGGACCGCAGCCCTTCTGAGTAAAATTCCCTCCCGACGTTTAACCCCATCCAACCAATTCTTCCTCTACCAAACGGCCCACCCTCTGAACCCACCTCTCCCCAGCTCAGAGATAAGGATGCGGTGTCAGAGGCCTCGCACAAGTCCTGGCAGATGACACCCAGATGCCTCCGTCAGACACCCCGCGTCGTTTTATCCACCCGTTTAGCTAAGCACCCCGTGTAACTCTCCTATTTAACCACAATTCCCACTCAGTTTGCTATCCGGGCACCCACCTGCCCCCGCAGGCGCCCCTCTCAGTATCTCGGCTATCTCCCCTCACAGGCGGCTCCGCACCATTCCCCAGGCAGCCCCCGGCGAGCTCACGGCTCTCGGTCCTCTCACAACGCCTGCGGTCCCGTCAAGAACTCAGGAACCGCCTCACCCAGCAGCCGAGGGCCGTGAGAGCACCGCGCTGCCCCAAGCAGCACCGCCAAGCACCGGCCCCGCCGCCCCGCTGCCTCTGAGGAACGCGGCGGCCGCCCCGCGCCTGACGTCAGCCAAGCCGCTCTGCGCATGCGCCGAGAGACGGGAACCACTGCGCAGGCGCAGTGTCCGTCAGGCTCTCTGCCAATCACAGCGTGGGGCGGGGCTTCTCCTCACGGCGCTGCAGCCACGTTTCGCCTCAGCGCTTCTCCGCGCTTGGCGGGCGGGAAAGCGAGGACGCCGTGAGGGGCGGCGATGGCGGCGGCGCCGGGGCTGCGGGAGGCGCTGGAGCAGCGGCTGCGGGATTTGGGCATCGCCGCCACCACCGCGGAACACCCGGAGGTGGGGCCCCGCTGCGAGGTCCCGGCAACGCTGCCCAATGCCGTGGCCGTGCCCGAGGCCGCGGGTGGGCTGTGGGCTGCGTGAGGCGGGGGACGGGCAGCCCTCGGCACGGGCGGGGTTTCGGGGTCCCTTCCAACCCACCCGCTGCACGTACGGAGTGACTGAGAGAGGCGGCGGGAGCAGTACGTCGCATTTTATTCGTGTTCTTTTAAAATCTCTTCATAAAAGGGTACGGTTTTGAGGCTGAGCATCACATCGGGTATTTTTTAAGTGACGGCTGCCAGTACGCAACGAGAGTCCCGCGGGACGCAGCCTCACGCTCCGCTTGTTGTGTTTTCCAGGTGTTCACTGTTGAAGAAATGATGGCCCACGTCCGACACATGAAAGGAGGGCACAGTAAAAACCTTTTCCTTAAAGACAAAAAGAAGAAAGGGTTCTGGCTGGTGACCGTCCTGCACGACAGGCAGGTGGATTTAAACCACCTGGCAAAAAAACTTGGCCTGGGAAGTGGAAACCTCAGATTCGCCGATGAGAAAGCCATGCTGGAGAAGCTACAGGTGGGCCAAGGCTGTGCCACACCGCTGGCTCTGTTCTGCGACCACGGAGATGTGAAGTTTGTGCTGGACGCCAGCTTGCTGGAGGGCGGCCACGAAAAGGTGTATTTTCATCCAATGACAAATTGTGCCACCATGGGCTTAAGCCCAGAGGACTTCCTGAAGTTTGTGAAATCGACGGGTCACGATCCGATCGTTGTACATTTTGATGAAGATGTGAAATAGGCTCGCGTGGCTCGGCATTGATTTTATAGCGTAAAACTGGTGGGAGTCTCGTGATAAATACAGCTTGGAAAAATAGACCTGCTCTTTTGTACACTGTAACATTTAGTGGAAAAAAACACTATGCTCAGGTTACTGAAAATTCAGCAGAATATTGAGCTGTTTGCAATCTGTCAGCATCCAGCAAGATGAAAAGGCATTACATAAATAATGTTAATAAAATGCGTGAAGTAGAACTTTGTGTGGTACTGGGCTTGAAGGTCTAAACATAATTTAGAAATAACAAGTTAACTTAAAAGGTCTAAACTATCAACACGCAGTACAGACATATCTGGGTTTTTTTTGTTTTTTTTTTTTCACCTGTACCTATTTCTTTCCTACTCTGTTGCTTTTTTTTCTTAATTTTCCCCCTAGAAAACAGAAAATTAGTTGCACTACAGAAATTGTACTTGATTGTCTCTATTTTTAGTTGCATTTTCATTTCAGTCTCCTCCCTTTGGGAACTAATCATTAAGCCTTCTGGTGATTGGCCCATTAGGACAGCGTCCCTCCACAAAAGTGGCAGAACATGAAAGAGAACTGAGAGCACACAGGGAGGAGTGTAAATACCCAGGAAAAGAGCTTTAAGGAATAAAACAGCTTCCTGCAGGGGTGTGGCATTTCCTGCTGATTCATGGAAGGAAAGTGAATACCACCTGGCACAGTATTAGCTTCTGTGCATAATTTCTTCTGGCTCATTAACCTGTGGAGGATGAGCGTACTTCCTATTCCACTGTACCCTTATAACCAGTACCATATAAGTGGAAAGAAGGGTGTGACAGCAGACAGACTTGAGTTTCTCCCTTCAGGAGATGTGGAACCGAACACACGAATGTCCAGATGTTCAAAAAGCTGTGGGGAGTCTGATTTGGCTTAGGATGGATGATATATTTAGTACAGAAAAGTATACGCTATCACAGGAACAAGACCAACACATTCTCAACATTGAATTCCTAATGAAATTATTTCTCCTTTCTAAATGAGTAAAACCCTTTTCAAACACTTTCTTAAGCAAAGTCCATGAAGCCCAGCAGCCAAACTGGTCATGAGTACCCAGAGACAGGAACAACATTTTGGAGATGAGAGGTAAAAAGGCTTTGAAATACTGCCTAATGAAGATGGCTGTGGTATGAGAAAAATGCCCAAAGGCAAGCAGCAGGATGAGCACAGGTGGAAACGGAAGAGGAAAAAAAGAACAGTGAAGAAAACCACAGAAGGACTTGTAGTACTGATTAGCATTTGCTACTGCATCGTGCTACAGGATGCAATACTAACAGTGACAAAGGGGACATTTTAAATAAATAAGGAAACGTCAGTCAGTTCTCAGTTTCATTAGGTATGGCAAAGACAGTTCTGTGATAGCTCTCTTTTTTTATTATTTTTTTTTTTAATATAAAGTGAGCTGATAATGAACTGCCTCAGGAACTCCAGCTTGACAAACGTGCTTCTAACACAGGCAGATTTATGATACAGTCTTCTGCACCTTTAAAAGTGAAATTCGTTGTATCCTGTGACTGCCACTCTCCCTTCCCTTTCTTCCCTGTGGTGCTCGTGAATTATCATTTCCAAAAGGGGGAGTAAAAAGCAATACATTTAGCTTGTCAAGTTTTAAAACCAGAAAGCTTTACATGTGAAAGATAAGTTAAAAAGATGTGCACAACAGCAGATTCCTACACTTCTCACAAGTCTGAAGATCTGCAAACCTAAAAATTAAACTTCCTTCATTATCAGAAGAGCTTCTGAGTCTTGTTTCAGCAGAAGTAACCAGCAAGCAAAATCAAAGCTCCAAATCCTGCGTTTGGCAAATCTGACAGGAATTCTTAACGTGTCATTATGAAATTAGTGTCTTAAAAATAATATTAAAATAAGGGATAGTTAAGAGCTACACAAGTCTTCACAAATTAACAGCACAGAACAAACTACGCAGCGCCCAGAATATTTCTGCTACAGTTTTATAGGTTTCCTTTCAGAAGAAATACTGAACACATCACCAACCGAGCACAACCACCACTGAACACCAATATCCTTCCAGTAACATCAGTTTCCAGAACATGTGTGTATCAATATATATACACAAAATAAGGATAAAAATTATTTGGTTCGGTATTTTAATAACATCATTAATAAATGTATACAATGGCAAACATTAAAAAAAAAAATCAATATGTAAAGGAAATTACAGTTTTAAATAAGAGCTTTTTAAGTTTTGTTTCACACCTAGGTACATTCCTTTAAGGCAGTTTTATTAATATCAAAGCATTATTTACATATACGTTATCATCTACCTCTAAGAATCATCCGTGAGCTCTGGTGAGGCTGCACCATGTCTTGGGCAAAGTTGGGAATGTTGCTAAATAACAGCAGACTATCAGCAAAGCAAATGGAAATCCTACATTGTAAGGTATGAAAAACAAACTCTGTAAACTTGAACTAACAGTGACACGTTTGGCAACTCAACTCTTGCTGCTAACAATGATGTGCTCTTCTTGTGGGCTGCCCCACAGCTGCCGTGCTGCTCCCTGGGAGGCTGCGTTTCAGAGAAGGGGAGGTGGCTCCCAAATTACATCGACAGTTTGGTTTTTAGTTGTATGGAAAGATGAGGTGCCTTACAGAGGCATTATACCAGTCTGGAAAGACATCTGTATCAGAGTACAGAGCGCTTCCTGACTGCTCTTCTGCTCTGAAATGTCTTCACAAAGTAAGCACTGGGAGTTTTAGGGTTTGATCTCAGTGAAAATGTATCCCTGGTGCTGCTTTGGTGTAACTTGGTGAATACAAACCAAATGCCCCTGTGGTCTCTGTCCTGATGCTGGCCCAGCAGCTCAAAGCCCACCAAGAATGGTGCAGGGAACACCAGCCAGCACTTTGGCACACAACCCTGACCTGCACTAGTGGTGTGAATTCTGCTGCCACATCCCCACGTTCCTGCTGATGCTCTCAAAAAAGGAAAATTCACTTAGGTTTTCACTTTCAATGCGTGTTATCAGTTGACTAGTAACTTTCACATTTGTGACTAAGCATCCCAGCCGTGATGGAAAATTCTGGACAACTTAATGAATACAGAAAAGAGCCAAAAAAGGAAAAGTCAGGGGAGTGCCCATGAAGGAATGACACAGCCACGTGTAGTGAGGGCAAAAGGCTGCACGTGCCTGGCTGGGTGCCACGCATCAGCCATGGCAATATTCCCAGGTCTTTGAGTATGTGGCACACCAGAGCACAAACAGCTGCACAGCTACTGCAATACAAGCAATATTTGGCACTATGGGTTAATTCAAGACACAATGAGTTCTAGAAATTGTGACACTATGAATTGGTTAGGGTTTAAAAGTTTTAAGTGCATCAGTCCTCTGCTGTCAAGGAGAGGTACTGGGAGAACGCACCAACACTCAGGCCCTGAAACAAACTTGAGAGTAGCAAAATTCAGAATTAGTTTCCTAATATTTGCTTATTTCAATTATCTTTCCTAACAGCTGTGATTTTAGTGAGGGCTACTGACATGACCACATGTCTAAGCAGCTCTGTAAGGCAAGTTTTCCTTCGGTCCCTATGGCTGTGCCTCTGTTGCTGCACAGGAATGGCAGAGAAAGCTGGCCTGACATCACGTTTTTATTGCTTACAGTAATTTTCTCTGAGAGCACAGCAGGGCTCCCTCTGGCTCACTTTGTATTGAGGAAGAACCTCGGTAATACCTGAGCTCTGACTGCACACAGGGACACAGCAGTACCTGCAGTACAGCCTGTGACACCTGGAAGCTGTCACTGCAGCCTGGAGCACCCTGAATCCTTCCCCAAAAGAATGTGCTATCAATTACAGCACGGGAAGTTATTCCACGTGCAACTGACCTCAGACTGCCTGCAAAAATGTTGTGGAACTGGATGTCAGGAACTCTCTGGGCTTCAGGTTGCTCCTGG